TATGAATTTAGACGAACGTTACACGAATTTTCCTGTGACAGTTTTATCGACATATGGTGATACCAAGTTGTCCCCCCGTATATTTAACTAACCCCTAGGTTGTGGACCGAAATTATTCCTGGGCACCAATGGCAAAACGGTACAAACGTAGCAAAGCTCATGAAAGAAGTTTTTAGGAACCTTTATGGCGTCACTGAGTCTAATTATGAAACCAAGAGAGGAAAAATGCGAAAGGAAACTTTAATAATGGTCAATATCAAATCGAGAATAAGAAATAGAACAATTAACCAGTCTTCTTGATTCTGTTCGTGAACGCTTTCTTCCCATACCTACAGGAAACATCCTGATAATTACCTGCTTGAGTATCTTCATATTTTGTGACTTTGCGTTGTTATGGCTTTCTAATGACCCTAGCGAGAGCATGCTCTTGTGATAATCTTCGGTTTTCGGGTGGGGTTTTTTATACCTAGTACTAGCAAGAACATTTTCGGTTTCGTCATTTCATTCTAATCACTAATTCTTGGCCTCTTCAGCTGTATCTAGGTTTTGGCAACAAATCGATAAAAAAACATGAAAGAGAAGAAAGGATGTATTCCGATCTGCGTCTACAATCGATTTGAAAGTAAAAATGACTATAGAAGACTCTTCCTGGGTTATTTCACTGCTTCTTTACTTTGACAAGTTGATTACTTTTGGGAATGACACTCTGAATGAAGATGTGGGTGGTGTAAGACGAATTATATGAATTTACAGATGTAGATGAGAATATAGACACGGACGAACATGCAGGACGTGCAGATGAGGACGTAGATGATAGTGAGAGTGCTTGTGACAATCACGGAGATTTGGACGAGGAGGAATCTGTGCCGTTATTAGATTCAGAACGCTAACAGTCGTTAATTGGGTGCTTGTGTTATCTGCGGTGGACAATGCATGACACCATATTGCTAAATGCAAGCGAAGAGTGTTCACCCATCAGTGGTAGTCCGCTTTGGTATTATGTGATTGACATTCTGGTCAACATGCCCCAACCAAGCAAATTTTACATAACAAGGACTCCTTCGAGCGTATAAAAACTACAAAACAGTGAAACCGCCTTTCTCCAACGTCTAATTGAATCTCTGTTGATCCTCCAGATCACGGCGTCACTGATACTGTTCTTCTTTATGTAGTAGGGTGAAGATTACGACTGCATGGATCCTGAAAGCACGGATGTCTATTGAAACAATGCTTGAACGTGTTAGATCTTCACTTTCAGTTTGACTTATCTGAGGTGACCCAGCAGCATGTGTCACATTATCTACTTGGATACATAAAACTGTTAGAATTTAAAGATATTATTTTCATTGTGAAATAAAACGAGAATAAATTCACGGAGGAATATTTTTTACCAGCAGCATGTGTCATAGATGGGATATACTACTAGTCGTACTTTAATGCCATTAATGGATGCTCCATTGGAGCTGACCCAGACTTGGACATTGGCTAATGAGTCATTAATAAATATGGCTATACTAAATAAAGGAACTTTTCTTAGCGGCTGGTCGTCGCAACGAAGAGCGAGATTAGACTATCTGGTGCCGTGCACAAAAGGAGTTGATACTAGCATGTTGATAAAGGTTATATGTGGAATGAAGACTATCGCTTTCTTATTCTCGTGTTCAAGGTGAAGTTGTATGATCTCGTTCCCCATCAGGGCCTATTTCATCTCATCATATCCAACCAGCAGTCGAGGCATTCTGATAAAGTTACTCGGAAAGTTTAAAATGCTTAAACTAGACATTGGCAACACTAATGTTGGATTATCTAACTTTGTTTTCGAAGAAAAAATCTGGAGAGAACTATTATTGTGCAAAGATCTTTTTTAAAAAGGTGTTTTCCGAAACTCTGCATATGTCGTTGTTACGCCCATTCTGGGAATTGGCCCATTCTAGTAATCTCAAGATGGGATAATTACAAAAAAAAATAATTTTTTTTATCACAGTAACACAGATCAACGATTAATACAAGACCCATTGTTGCGGACCACAAATACAGCAAATTCGTTGACTGCACCTAGCACTTTAGGAGATACTAATCTTCTCCGGCGAGCTACAGGGGGTACCAAAAGTATTGCACACTTTTATTTTTAGCCATAAAAAACATTTTTAAGACAACAGCCAATTTTGTTTTATATTCAACTAAATTATTTTGAGTTTCTATATTTTTTGTGCTTTGGGAAAGTATACCGATAACAGGTTTACACTGATAAAATTTCGCTTAAATTTTTTTCGGAACGGTTAATTAGTGTTGATATGAGATTTTCTCAGATTATACCGATATTCTTGTGCAACACCAAAATTGTCCAATCAACTTGAAAATAAAGATAATAATATCACATCAAACCCCATACAAAACAAAAAAGCTCGCTGACTGCATTTTGATAAAACCACGACCTAAACAAGGCATCCTGGCGGAGCAGTATGATGTCGCGGCACGATTTCGGATATTTGGTACCATAACAATAAATGGCTTTCCATCGATGATGATGCACCTTTACGCACAATATTACTATCACTACTTCTGATATTAGAATTGCGTAAAGTGTATATATTAAAGAAGAAACAATCAACACTGATTAGTTTATTAACTCATACGTATGTTCAATATACCGTATTCTTCCGAAAATAAGCAACACCTGTTTTACATAAGTTCCGAAAATAAGATAAGCAACACACTTCAGAATAAATAATTTACCTTTATAAATGTATTTAATTAATTGTTTTATTTTATTATTGTTATTACAATAAAAAAATAATTAATCCGTCTCATCAATGATGTCAATGATAGTCAATGGTATTATCGACAGAAATCACATAATTCAGTGGGATTTTATTAAACTACCCGAAAATAAGCAACACTATAACAAAAAAGTGTTGCTTATTTTCGGAAGAATACGGTAATTATTATTTAATTTGTTATACCGATATAATAAGGTTTCCATAAACAATATCATTATAAATGGGCGGTGCCACTCGTACGGTATTGTCTCTTTATTTTTGAGAACCATAGTTTTCGATCTTTGCCGTTTTTGGCAGTCGAACAAGCATGATCCACCTGAAGGTTCTCCTGATTCAAAAGCTGGAGATATTGTATGATAACATTCTACATACGACAGTTATAATGTCGGCTTTTTACCAACGTCAAGTGGCGATGGCACACATCCTAAAACCCATTACGCGAAAAATTGAACAATCCATTTAAATAATATATAGGAATATGGTATAAGAATCACATGAGCAGTTCCATATTATCAGTAAGTTATTAATTCTTTGAATATAATCATTAATTTATTAATTAGTAGGATGAGTGATCGTACGATTCTGTATTTGCATTCGCATTTCAAAAAGGTCAGTCAAACGAGGCTCTCGACCTTGTATCACGCAGAATGGATGTGTAGCAAAGACATGTGGGCAAAAAGTAATAACTCCGGTGGGCGATATATAGATGATAACTTATGTCCCTTAAACTCATACTGCTTCTCTACCTAATTTCTTGAGCTTTTAAATTATTTTTAATGCTTTATAAGTTGTTGCAGACATGCCTTAATTAATAATACTAAATCTTTTTCTCCAACAACTTTGCAATCAAACCACTTCGATGTAGTGACTACCATCAATTCTCTTTTTGAAGGCACTAGATTGGGTCAAGAACGAAACGAAGCAAATAATTAGAATAAAATTGGACGGATGTGCGTGGGGAAAGAAATGAAATAACAGCAATGAGAAACGTGGTTTCGTATGGTCGAGTAGCGGGGAAAGCAGATCGTGGCAAGCATAAACCATCATAGCAGGAATTGGTGGTTGCGAGATTAAAGGCGGATAATATAGGCACACTATCGAATGCATAAAACGTTACTTACCCGTAGCCTGGGTTAATAGCCCCAGTAAAAAGGCCTTTTTGTCATTGTCCGCTTTGCAAGCTAATGCAACTATATTACAGCCTATACTACGTTTCACTTATTACAATTCATACCACTACGTCTACTCTACCCATGTATGCAGTAGCATTTTTCTATGTTTGTATAGAATATATTGGTAAACTGACCATTGAAGATTGGAACCGTCGGCAACACTCTGAAAAATTTGAATCTGATATTGTAAACAAAGTAAAAGCTTTGAAATTAGTAGAAGACTGGGAAAGAATCTCAAATGAGTTGAATCAGATGAGGGATCATGAGGATGTAGAACAATTCTGTACAAGAAAAGTTGCAAGCCTTTGGAGTAAAGTTGAACCAAAATTATTGAACACTGTCAAAACAAAAGCAAAACTCATATTTGCATTTGATGAATCATGGTCCTTGCTACAGAGACCATCTTCAAGAGAAACTGCACAGGTTGTACAGTTTATCCACATTCGCTGAGCCTTACATTGTCTTCCTGCAGGAGTTTTTGCTGTATTATATTGCTGCAAAAACAACAGAGCTTGTATTTTCACCTTATTACAGGAAAGATGACAGCAGTTAAATATACTTCTAACAGAGGAAAGCAATTCATTGACTCAAGTAATTTTTAAAATTATTAGTGCATTATTTTTTGGTCTTTTTAGGAAAATAATTAATTTGTCTTTCTTTTCTACAGATATTTCCTCAGACATTTAATAACCTCCCAAACCTTCATGTGAGTCAACATCTTGTAATGCATGCACAAAATTATGGTACACTGGTTAATACAGCAGTTGCAGTGAAAGAGATGGTTCACCAGATTTTTAAGGGAATGGTACCACACACTAACCTTAAACAAATTGAGCTTGACTTGCTGCAACGATATAACATTTTACAGACATTTCGTTATCTTATAGATGGGGGTGTTGACCATCAATTTGGTTAAAGCTTTAATCCTTATAGAAATTTAATTAATGATGATCACATGGGGAAAGTTCTTAGGCAATGGTTTATCTTTGTATTTGAGGGTCCAATAATCATTGTATCCAACAAAAATAGTGGAACTGGTGAAGATTTAGACAATGCAGTCAATAATAAGGGTAAGGCTAATAATGTTTTGTTGAAACTGTATATGCAAGAAAACTAAATCCACACTATAAATATAAACTAGGAGAGTTGTTTTCAGGAAATCAGCATTTTACAGAAATTAGTGTCAGAAAATGTTGGCCCAGGGCACATGTTGAACAAATGAATCTTCCAACAAAGCTTGTTTATGTTGGCAATTGGTTAGAATATGATCTAGCTTATGCATATGACTATTATTTGGACTTGAAAGCAGCTTTGTTAAAGAAGAAATTGAAGTATTATGATTCTATCTCTTACTCTGTAATGGATGATGATGAGAATGTCAAATGGATACATGTAAGCATTGGAGATATTTAATATTTAATATGCTGATGGTGCAAATTACTTAACTTTGAAATAGTATCAGCAAATACTATTAAAGAAAGAAGAGATGACCTTGATATTGATTAAGTAATAGTAATAGTAAAGAAATAAATTTAAATTTCATAAGTGATTTTTCTTTATCTAGATATTGCTGGACTAGAGAGTTTGGGTATTATTGAATTTAAAAACGTATGAAGCAATTTTTCACCTTGAGCTTTATTTAAAATGCTTCTGATAGCACTGTATTCTTGGGTTCCATAATCAATTTGATGTAAATTAATTTCTTTTATACAGAGATAATCCATGTTAATCCTGTTATGGTTTATATTCATCACATTCTGGTAAGATAAAGTGAATATTAGAATTAACAAGTCCATAATAGTAAATTCTTCATCATGCCCTAATGCTAACCTTTGACAATGATAGCTTTTTCCGCTTTTGTTTCCTGATAGGCATAAAATCATCATCAGACTAAATACAAACCAATTTTGTTTAGTTATGAGATAATGAATCATTGCACTGTTGATGGATTTAGTATACCTCTTGATATAGATCATCTGCTAAGTGTCTTGCATACTTATCTCGTATAAACTGATCTTGTTGGAAAACTGACTGCGTAACATTGGTAGTGTGCTCTTCCTAAGACCACAGAAAGAAAACGAAGTCATTTTAATTTTCCATAATGCTATATATCGAGACACACTTAATGGTCATACCACCACAACTCTGCGTTTAGCTATAGCCGCCATCCTCTGATCTTCTACAGACGCGACATTCTCCCAAAACTTGGCAATTGACTGTGATTTCTTTTCTTGCTAAAAAGAAAATATTCAAGTCAGTATATAGCTAAATCAAACCACCGGAGCCGCAACTCATGCACACCCGACCGCAGTCAGGTGTGTTGGTGGTTTTTGTATAAAATGCTTCTAATAAAACCCTTCTTTTGGTTGTAGGACGGAACCACCGACCGCAGTCAGTAGTTGAACACAGACCGCAGTCCCATCCAAAGAAAAAAAATGTCCTTGGACCCGTCCGCTACAACAAAAAAAGAATGAACCTCTAGTATAGCAAGCGCCTCTTTAGCCTTCAGAGTAGCAGCTTCAGGTGCCTGTCCCCAAGTAAGTATTGCTTTAAGACTGCGGGTATATCGGTCGTGTTCTCGTTGTTTATAAAGTTGGAAATCGCTGTACTGTTGACGGTATAGTAAAAAGTAAGCAGGATCATCCACAGGGATTCCTAACGAAAGAAGACTTCCTTCATTAAAAATAAAAACTATTCCATAACACGTCAAAAAGACTTGCCTTCCATTATCGTTAATTTGTCGTGTTAACGCGTTAGATGTGGACATATAAAAATTTTTTTTTGCTTAAAATATAAAATGTAATTCACGATCACGTGCCATTAATTACTACTATTGGCTCGGACACGCTTAGTCGTGACAACTTTTGTAGACAAGCTTTAACTTGCAATTGGGGCAGACTGCAACAAAACCAGACAAAGTGAACATCCTATTATGTGACATAAATGAGAGGCTGATTATGATGTGGCTGTAAAATTGACCAGGGTGATTGATGACGTTTTGAAGTAAGAATGGTGCTTATGGACTGGTTAATTTTAATGCTCACTTTATCATACCGGAAGGTGATGAATATAAACCATAATGTGATTAATATTGGATTACCTCTATATATAAAATATTGATTATTGATGAGCTTTTTTTCTTCTTAGCATCCAAAATACTAGGGCTGTAATCCCTGATGCTATGGAATTAACCATAATGGAGATATTTTGTTTGAGCTTCTCATTCTTTGTTTTTCTTCTTCTAATTGTTTAATTTCAGTCAATTCTCTTGATGATTTGATTACTTCTTGACCTTTATTCCTCTTACCCCAAACTCTGGCATATTCTTTAGGGTCATTCAGTTTTTCTGCAATTCTTTCATTTTCCATGGTGCCAACTGGCTGGTTATTTTGAATAGGCCTGCCTTCATTTGGCATTCATCATCTTAATCTTTCCATTTTGTATTTAGGAAAGAAAGTAGAACATAAGTCACGTTCTTTGCTTGATGAAGTTTCTCCCTTTTCTTGTTCTACAAGTTTGCCTGCTTGTCCCAAATTACAACCAATAAA